TCTTCAAGTGAACTGCATGCAAAGTTAATATACAAAGATTACCATTACGAAAGTGCAGGGTATAAAAATGAAATTAAATTAACAAGTCGTTGACTAGCAAAATTTAAAGAATTAAAACCATATACCTGCAGTAATCAATCAATGAATAATAATTTGAAATGAACGTGAACTTAAAGTTTGTAATTTTTAGAGTCGTCTTCGGTAGAGATTCAGTATATGTATGTTATGTTACCAATCTCAAAAAGATTTTCTTAAATATTTTAAAAACTAATATTAAACTGTTCTGAAAGTTTAAATGGAATGGCTGCACTGGTTTATATAATTGTATTTATTAATATTAATAATAATAAGATTCCAATAGAATTATCTCAATTGTTTTCATTACATAAATGTTTCCACATTTAGTTCTAAAAATAAACTATTAAAAATTAATATGACAACATAATTGTAATTCCGAGTTTGTTCGACGATTTGTTTTATTTCTGAATTAAATATTACTAATGTGCAAAACATTGTCTTTATTCAAATTAGTGTTTAACAGTTTGCTCAGATTAGATAAAGTTTCGAAAACACTAATATTTTAATACTAATATTTTTATTAAATATACATACGTAAAAAGCAATTCTCTATTCATTGCTCTACTGCAAAGTAAGAAAATACTCAAAATTATTGTTGTACAGTTAATTTTTTTTTTCTTGATGCCACAAGTTGTTGTCATTTTGTTCCGTTTTTTAAAGTTTCCTGTGCCAATTAACAAAATATATTCGAGGTTTTAATAAACATACTGATATAATATGTATCTGCATTTTGTCCGTCCGGTTATAACAGTTTATTCTTAAAGGTATTATTTTAGTGTCTTTCTATGTTTTCATAGATTGAAATTGTCCAGAAAATGAAACACTAAATTTAATTGTATTAAAATTTACATGTTTTTTATTCCCTTAATTCATTCATATTTATTTCATGTACACATACATATGTACATGAAATAAATATAGACCTGGGTATAAATAAGTTACATACATATAACAATTTTCAACAATTTGAATTTCAAAATTCTTTCTATAAATTCTGAGCGGAAAAATTTCTGAATGAACAAATGTTTTTAAAATAAACACTTTTACGTTATTATTACTTTCTAATAGGGAGACTTCTGATAATTCAGTTCTAACTTAAAATAAAGAACTGCACGTTCTGTCAAAAAAATATGTTTGATAATGGCTACTGTTTTTGTGGTTTACTTTATGATAAAAAATTTAAACGTATATTTCAGTGAACTGGAAAGAATACAATATGTATTTTGTGATTTAATTTTCAAACTAAAAAACATATTACGACAATTTTAGAACTTTCACAGCAGCTGTAGTTTATGCAGCTACGTTTTCCTTTTGTCTAACTTATTTAAGTTCTGAATAAGAAATGAGGTCGCATATTGCTTTAACAAAAATACCCAACCCTTATAGTTTTTGACATGGTCATAAGGGGTAATGCTGAAAATATCACAAAATAGAAATACTTATAAATGAACCGTATCTTGAAAAAAAACATAGTAAAGATAAAATCTTCAGGTAAGTCTCGTTCTTTGCTCCGAGCATTGTCAAAGTGAAATTAACATTAAATAAAAAGTGTTGTTTTTTTTGTGAAAATTACTTGCCGCCATAAAAAGTAAACAGAGATTTTGTTATTTTATATATAAAATTAGTGCAGTTTGTATATAAAAAAAATCATAAAATATTCAATAATAAGTTTTTAAAAAAGAATATTAACATATATTATAAAAACTTATAATAAGTTAAAACCTGACCATTGGTGCAGTGGTTATGGCACCGGCCCTTTAACCGAAGGGTCTCTATAAAAATTATATTAAATAACTTAAAAATATTATATTAATAACTTAATATAAAAATTATATTAAATACGCAATACTAATTAAATATTATACAAGTAATTTTCAAATATTCATAATATTCGATACTAAAGACTAAGAAAAATAAACAGCAAATATTATAAATATTTAATATAAATAAAAAAAACTACGGTAGGCTAGTCATCTACCTAGGTAACTCTTTATGACTATAGAAACTAAGGCATGATATCATGCACTAGCCCCTATGCTCCTCATAGGGTGAAGAAGGAAAAAAAAATAAGTTAAGAAACAATTATAACAAGTGAAAAAAAAAAGAAATTTGTTATAAAAAAAGAAAAAAAAAAGAAAAAATTTCTTGAAAAAGAAAAAGGTTTTAAATTGTTATTCTCATTTGCAAAAATAAATAATTTTTTTACACCATATGAATGTGAATATTATTCATTTCAATAATTTAAAGAAATATTTATTCAAAAGTGCTTTGATTAATTTAAAATTTGTAATTTCATTAATTTTTTTAATTTTGCAAAGAAAATATTTGTTTTTTAAGCAAAGTGAGTTTGTGTTTGATAAAATATAACATACAAACAAATATTTTAAATTGTTTTTTTTTTGTTATTTAATTATAATTTTTCTAGAAATGATGAAATGAAATGATGAAATGATATAAATTTCCCTTTATAAAGTGAAGATTTGGTCACCAAAAATATATATGAAGATATGTTCCGATGGCGTTGAGTTCAGTAAGTAAAATAAAATATTATCGTGAATTATTCATATTCTAAAATATTTTGTTTAAGAATGAATTAGTATGTGAAGCTCAATTAAGGAATTAAGAAGAATACAACATATCATCTATTTCAGCGAGTAATAACCGTCATATTAATTAAAATTTGTTAAATTTATATGTATTTATATTTATTGTAATTAATATTGATTGAAGTTGTTCAGTAAAATTCTCAAACAAAACTGATAATATAAGAAATTTTTTAAAAAAATATGTTTATTTTCGAAAGCAATAAAATATTGTAATATTAAAATAAGTATAAATGCTTGCAATTTATAAAATAAACTTATAAATAAAGTTGGGTCAAACCAATGGTTTGTATTGTAGCACTTTTCCCTTCAACAAGTGAAAATTTTGCTTTTAAATACAGTCTATGTGTATCTTTCACACTATTAAAATTATTTTCATTCATATACAAAACTATTTCTAGGATTGCATATATTTAGGATGATGCATACATGCAGTCTTTGAAATAAAGCAAAAATTAATATAAAGTGGGGTTAACATAATGCTTGATTTTAAGGATTAATTGTATGAGTTAAGAAAAATAATTATATTTTTTAATGTTATGGAATTTACCGTTAGCTTTCTGTGTTTATAGAAATTTGAAAAAGCTTGCAGTTTCGGAAATATAAGGTGTCAAAAATTCAAATTTTACAAATTTCAAGAGGCGATAACTTGAGAGGGGGTGGAGATGGGAAAAAACGAAATGAACTATTTGTTAATGTCTAAAAGCCCCTAAAATTTCAAGCTTCTACAGGCATCAAAAAACGACATCAAAAATTTGGAAAAAAAGGACTTTAGATAACGGTAAATTTGAACGGTCATTTTGTTTTTATAAAGTTAAACTATAGTATACTGCACTAGGGGAAGCACGCCGCTGCCTTTCTGCGTTTGCAAAATTTCAAAAATGCTTATGGTTTCATTGCAATAAATAGTTAACAAAAGCTTTTTTTTGGGTTGGTATAACTTCTAGAGGGGGGGATATAGGTATAAATTTTGTTCTACGGAAATAAGTTTCTAGTAAAAATCTATATACGTACAAAATTTCAGCTTTCTATCTTCAAGGGTGTAGCAGTTTTGTAAACAGGTACACGGACATACGGACGGACAGAGTGAAACTAATAAGCACTTTTTTTCAAAAATTTTTTGGAAAAGTGCTAAAAAAATAATGAGTTTTGCTTAAATTTGTTTTTTTTTTTTTAAAATATTAATATTTCGAAACTTAAAAATATTTCGAAATATTTTTTAGTTTTTACTTTAAAAAAAATTTTTAACTTATTCCTACAAATTACACACATGTTATAATAGAGGCTAGACAAGAAAATAAAATAAATACGATCCTGTTATTATTTTCAAAATTCTCGAAGCAATGAAAAAGACAACTAGAACAAATTTCTCTCATTGTTTTTTCAAGATGCTCCTTCATTTAGCATTTATAGTTCGTTGTTAAAATATCTAGAATTTAACAACATTAATAGATCGTTAACATTAGAAATAATTAATTTTTTTGCTACTGAACTTTTATTGGGCAAGGAAGTATATGTAGGTGATACATGCAATTTTAATGTACATTCGTAGATTGCTTTTTTTGTTTATAACTTGTTCAAATTTAAAGCGTTTATTTTATAATTTCTCGGAAAAAAAGAGAGTCTGATTTAAAAATTTGACATATGTATAAATGCTAATAAACCTTAGCAAATTTAAAACAAATTTTGAAGAAATAATCTAAAAAAAGATAAGCGACGCAAGCTCTTATTTAAGGGGAAAACAAATTTAAAATTTCAAAAAAATATAATATTTACATATTTGCATATACCTGAGTACATAAATATATATACTTATATAATTACAAACACATTTCTATACGTATATACATACATATGTATGTGGCTGGAAAATAATAGAAATAAAAACACCTGGTAATTAACTTGTTGCATAAGTTTAATTTATAAATAACTTGAACTTGTAGATATACAAGTGAATACATACATAATTATCATGTATTGTGCCTGCGTCAAGGCTATATTTCTTTTAATTTAAAAATTTGTCCACTACTTGATATTCTTCTAATTTTATCATTGCGTTCGACTTATTAAATTACATTTTAAAAAAAAATTTGGATGTATCATTGTTAATATCCATGTACTTTCAAATTATTTTTAGTACCTTTTAATTAATTAAATTTTGTCTGTGATATTTATTTTGAACATTTTGTTACGATATCAACGAAATGAATCGGCTAATCATATTTCGCTACATGTGCACGTTGGTGTTAAAATTAGTTTACATAAGTAGTATTTATAAATTTCAATTTTATAGAGACTTTCTTTTTCTTATAATTTCAGGCAAATATCAGTCAGACGGAATATGAAACAAAATACACCAAATATTTAACAAAATTACGCGAGAGAAAAAAACTGGAATTATTGGAAGATAATGAATTTATAAGCTTAAGAGAGTATCGCTTTCCCAAATTATTCCATAGTATTCGTAGTAACATTACACAAAACACCAAGTGCAAAGTTGACAGAAAAAAACGATCATTAAATACTGAAATATTAAATTTAAATACAGTTTTTGTTAGGTTTTCCATAAAAGATGATGATTATGAGTCATCTGACGATATTGAAGAAGCAAACTTAAGATTAATGATTATTACGAATTCAAAATTTGTAACAGTTCGGAAGTTATTAAAAAATGATGCTAACTCTCATTTACGTTGGTTACATCACGCACAACACCAGCATAAATTGTCAAATAATCAGTCCAAACATTTATTAAATATAAAAATCTACCAACTCATAGAGCCACATGGAAAAATTTGGTTAGATAGTAAAAAAATTGAAATTGACACTAGGGGGCAAACACGGCGTTGGCTAGAGTTTGATGTAACGAAAGCCGTTGAAACTTGGGTTAATGGAGAACAAGAAAATTTAGGTTTAGAAATACAATGCGATAAATGTCATTTATATGGAGCAAAAATAATTGATGATAGTTATGCAATGATTAATAATAAAAACGAAGAAAATAAATTTAGTGAGAAATTAGATACAGATTTTAACCCAATTCTAAATATAATTGGTCAGGTTGGTGGTATCAAACGTGAAAAAAGATCGCATCAATATCACCATAACACCAACTCAGGAACTTCATCGACGCCAAATAATGTTGACAGAAGAAAACGTAAAACCGAATGCTATGAAGGAAATACGCGTTGCTGTAGGCATTCGATGGAGGTTGTTTTCAAAGAAATCAAAGATTTCTCATTCATAATTCAACCAAAAATTTTTGATGCTGGCTATTGCCGTGGCAGATGTCCACCTAGATACAATCCAGCACATCACCATGCTGTTTTACAAAGCTTGATATGGAAAAAAGATCGAAGCAAAGCACCTAGACCATGTTGCGCTCCATCAAAATTGGTTGAGTTAGAAGTTTTACATATTGATGAAAATGACTCAACTAAATTAAAAGTAAGTCGATGGAATGATATGAAAGTAATTGAGTGTGCATGCTCATAGCTACTAAATCATTGTAATTCAATTGATTCAGTACTTATTTCAATGTAATATTTTTCAAAAAGTAGTAAAATTTGTTTATTTTGAAGTTAAGGATAAAATGTAGACATTGTTATAATGCAACTAAAAAGTTGAAATCGAAAAATTATAAGTCAGTTTGTAAAAGAGAATGTTAAAACGAGAAATATAAAATAATAACCATTTTGCCATAGATAGTTAAAACTATCAATTCAAAATACATAACTTTTTTAATTCAATTTCCTGGACCTATTAACAATGTTTTCTTGATTGCAATGAAAGATAAATTTAAACTGTTACTCAGCAACCTTATTGTCGATGAAATTTGATTTTCATCCCATTTACGTGTTCAAATTCAAACTTTTCATGAGCATACATATATACGTGGTCACTGGTTTATAAATGGAACGGTTTTTTTCGGTATATATGAATAACACATTTCAGTGTATGCATGTCAAACAGACTCAGATAATCTTCTACGCGATTATCTACCTCGCCGCGGTGTAAAAGCCAAGCAGGGTCAAAGAATCTCCTAACAAATCCTACCATTCCAAACTCCGCTGGGCCGAATTAAGGTGCCATACGACCCATGCCGATAATCAAGTTAACTGGGGGGCCTAGACAAATAGCCCAATCGTGAACGGAATATCCGAATACCTGGCGCCCTCCGATCATTTAGCCTTATCTAGGTACAGTAAATCTATGCCTAGATGGACTTCCTTTCTCCTCAACTCGTAGGAACAGAATGGAGAAGTATAAAAATAAAAACAACGACGAGTCCGTCACTCATAAAAAGTCGGAAAGGAATTTGGCAAAGCGAGTTCCACGCAGTAAAGCTGATAATTCGCAGAAGGCGAATTAAGCACGAGAAGAGATGCAAAAAGCACTGGCGCTATACCAAAGGTGAAGCAACAATCCCAACCAGAACAAAGCTGCTGTGCACGAAGCTATGACTCAGTCAGACCTAGTACCGGTAGCCATCACTCAGGTTTCTAAGGGCCAACAAAGAGCGCCCACGTCAATCACGGCCTCACAATGGGCTTACAAGGGAAGGTGGTCTTCGTTCAAGAATCCGGAAAGGATTGGCCGCATTTCTGAATAAGTTAGCTTGGACGAAGAAAGATCCACACACAGCTGGGCAAAGAGTATAATGGACAAACACGTAAGCGGAAAGGCCGCCGAACAAACCCTCAAGTGCAAAGCCGTATAATGAAATCCTGAAGAACCACCTCATTGCTGCAGTGGTAGACCAGGCAAAAGATGATGGCGGGATTTCAAGAGAAAACTGGCGGAAGGTGAAGAGTCGATTGATGGTAAGCTTTCCTCAAATCACGAAAGAGAACCCACGTCCATATCCCTCTTGCAGAGATCACGGTCGGCATCAGGGATACGTCAAGTTCGTGAAATGTCCTGACAATAGATCCATGGACCTTTATAAGAACGTAATAGCAAGAATAGGGGAGCTTTGGCCAGGCGCGAGGCTCGCGGTCGTTCCAAAAGACGATATACCAAGCAGACGAGCTCATACCTGAGCCGTTGAAACTGGAAACCATCCTAGAAACGATTCAGCCACAACTTACCCACGGACAACTGGAGTGTGGTCAAGCCAAAAGAGAAAAAAGCCGACAGGCCCCTAACATACTGAACAAGGAATTGCTTGCAGAACTTCGTTCTAAATTATGGGTTCTCCTCCATAATCCTGAAAGTATACAAAACTGACACAAAAACGCAGGGAACCCAGAAGCCGGAGAACGACAGGGGGCCAATCCCAGAAAAGAAACCAGCGGTTGGCACCAACAAGAAGCACGTCACGTGGTCTGGGTGAGCTCGAACATCAATGCAAGAGGTGAGTCACTTTTTGAGTTTATCTTAAGTACTAATTTCTCACTGCGAAATACGGGGTCAGAACCCACTTTTATCACTAAAAATCGACAGAAGTTTATTGATATAACCTTTGCCCCGCAAATTATTGCGGGTTTGGTCAGGAATCGGAAGATATCGCAAGAGCACTCCTTTTCTGATCGTCGCTATATAGAATTTGAATTCATTGATAGGCAAAATGCTACCCTGACTTCTGGCGACCGGGGTCCCTTCGCGTCCTAGAAGGTCTGAGGACCTCGATAGTATGGTATACACGCCTCACTGAGGTCATAAATATAGTGCCTCCAGGTTTCTGTGCCCTCTAACTCATATAAGAGGCAAAGAAAAACCACAGTGGTGGTCCACAAAGTGAAACGCCCCTCGCAAAAAATGTAGAACTCAATTCAACAAGACGAAGTTGACCAGAGCACTATCTGATTGGCATTTTTTTTCTACTAGGTGAAAAATTCTCGAAAGACGAAGAAGGACGGCTTTATCTGCCCTTTTCCTCTGACAGTGGGGGAGCGTGACTCCTATTATAAAAAATCACCTAAACTCTGAACGGATAAAACTGGTCCCACAGAACAACTATTACCTCCGTGCTAACTTGGTTTTTTCCGTGCAAGAATTAAATACCTTCCATAAGGAAACTGGTATTTCATGTTAAATCGAATGGTCTTGTTCGTTTAAGTCTTTCTGCCATAACGCCATTGTCTAGCAGCCAAGCGGCTTTTATATTTACATGCTGTTCTAGACGAGCCCTATGTTTTGTAGTACAACTACTAATTTCATCCACAACAACCATCCACAACCAATGGGGGTGATCGCATGACCCCCGATTTCCTTCTAAATGGGTCCATCACCGCCGATGGACCCATTTACTATTGCATCTACTATGCAATAAGTGGTCTTCCCAGAATCCATGAGACCAGCCTCCGAAGTGTGTGGATTTTCCAGCATTACTAGATTACCACCTGGGGTATTCAATCCTTGTGTTTTAATCATTGCATTTGTGTATGTTATTTCGGAGTTTTCTTTTCCTAGCCTTTCAGAATAATTCCCTCATGCAAGGCAGCACATATAATTTCTGCCGTCCCTCAGGGATCAGTCGCAGACAAAAGAACCGCTCATTGTGAATCCGTCGCGTCTGGATTTCCATTTGGATTTTAGTGGACTCTTACCACAAGCATACCTTACTGCGGATATTTCGTGGCCCAATCCGCCAGGAAACATGTGATTGGCATGCTTACAAGAATGATTGCAGAGAATGTTGCCAGAATGGTCTTCATTCCTAAGAATGGAAGAAGCTCTCATAGTTGCCCAAGCATCAGTCTAACATCATTTCTATTAAAAATATTGAAAAAGCAGGTAGACGTCTACATTCGGAGTAACCTTAACCCGAGGTTGATATCTCCGGCACAAAATGCGTATCGTAAACGCAAACGGGTCTCCATTCTTCAACACAATATATCGAAAGGTCATTGGACTGTAAAGAGTACACAATGGCTGCCTTAGATATTGAAGGTTGATTCAAAACTGAACTGTAAGTCCAACTGAATGGGGAGTGTAAGCAAAGTAATTTTTGCGTTTCACTCATGTACAAGGGCCGTCGGGAAGATTTGGGCCTCAGACCTAGCATAGTCTATTGGCTATAACCCGCTGTGGTGAGATTGATCTTGATGTATGGTGCTCTGGTATGGAGGCAGATGGCTGTGCAATCTGCAGTGCGACTTATCTCACAGAGATGTGGCATGAGGGGTCATGCTTTCGTTCTTGCGGACTGGGGATACGTGGTGGGAACACTTGATTCTGTTCCTCCTTTGCTCTCATTCTTACCAGGAACTTTGGTTTTCCCGAGGCAGGCCTTACAATTTCAGAGGCACGTCTTACAACGTCCCGAGGCAAGCTTGGCTGAACGAACGCGGTTTTGAAGGCGGGTCTGCCCATTTTTACACGGATGAATCCAAACTTGACAACAGGGTAGGTGGGGGAGTATATTCTGAGCAATTGGATGTTGAACTCTAATTCCGTCTACCGAATCACTGCAATGTCTTTCAGGCAGAGATGGTCACGACATATCATTCTGTACCTTCGGGACTCTAACTGGAAGGAGAATCTGGGCGTGCCTCCAAGCTGCTAATACGCAAGGCGGCAGTGGAGCACACGAATGTCAGCTGTGGCTATAACTAGACTTGCGTCTCACAGGGGATCGGATATCTCTTCGACGTGAAGATATCAGTACTGTGATAGGGGTTCTGCACTGTTTTTTTTCTTATAGTTCTTCTTTTTAAATCAGTTTTTTAATGTTTTAATGACACAAAACGTTCAGAATGTAAGCACTAGTAAAGTGGAATAAAAACTTCGGTCAAACCAATGGTTTGTTTTATAGCACTTTCCCTTCAACAAGTTAAAATACTTCATTTTAAAACAGTCTATGTATACCTACCAAAATATTAAAATTATTTTCATTCATATACGAAACTATTTCTAGGATTGCATATATTTAGGATGAACGATTTGTGCAGTCTTTGAAAGATAGCAAAAATTAATTTCAAGAGGAGTTAATATAATGCTCGATTTTAAGGGCTAATTGTGTGAGTTAAGAAAAATAATTATACTTTTTAATGGCATTGAATTTAAAAAAGCTTGCGGTTTTAAATTTCTATAAACTAATCTTGGATAATTTGAATGGGAGGAAGGTGAAAAAACATTTTCTCCTAACGAAATGAACAGTTTATTAGTGTCTAACAGATGTGAAAATTTTAAACTCCTACAATGTACGGTGTAGAAGAAAAACAGTATCAAAAATTTGAAAAAAACTGACTTCAGATAAATTTTAGCGGCCATTTTGTTTTTTTAAAGTTCAATTATAGTATAGCTTTCTATCTTCAAGGGTGTGGAGGTTTTGTAAACAGACACACGGACAGACGGACGGACGGACAGCACTGTCCTAATAACTAATGAAACTAATAAGCACTTTTTTTCAAAAAATTTTTTGGAAAAATGCTAAAAAGATTGACTTTTATTTTTTTCTAATTAACAATTTGAAGAGTTGATTTTGTGGGTGGTTTATGATGTTAAAAAGGGCCCTCTATTGATCCCATAAGAATACGTGTAAATTCATCAGCTGTGAACTGTCACCCCCTCTTAGGGTCCAGGCCTGTATTTCTGTCAGCCGTGGTATACCCGCTTTTAAGACTTCGCGTTTATACTTCATATTGAAAATGACAACTGAGAGTTTTCTGTGATATAAAATTTAAACGTTAGACGTTCTTCTGCGGTTTTTGTAGTAACAATACAAAGGACAGTTTCACAAACGAAATAAATTCAAAAAAGTCGTAGAAATGGTTTTAGAGTAGTATGGTAGCACAGAATTTCCAAGTGTAGTAAGAAACTAAAATTGTAGTAACATTAATAACACTGCTGTTATGTATGGCTACATTCCTTAAACGATTTTCGCATTTACAGTTGACACTACTTCCAATTTCGAATATTTGATTTAAGTTTTGTTTTTTGAAAGGACATATTTTTTTCTGTAGCCTTGCAAACTTCCGTCACAACAAGTTAAACCCTTTGCTGAACAAGAGCAGCGTTGACCATGATGGTAAACTAAGAGCAATATAAACCATCCTTAATCTACATTTTTTTAAACCTTAATAATAAGTGTCTACTTAATGTACAATCAAATTAAATTATACAATTAAATTATACAAATATTTGAATTGAAAGAACTGCTAAAAATGTCAAATACAAAAACTTTAAAAAAAAAAAGAAAAATTTTTTGTGATGCAACTTCATAACATATACTTTGTTTATGTTATGGGATCGATTATTTCACTAGAAATTTCAATCTGCGTACTGTACAGATTTTACTGACACTGTACAGATAAAAAGTATTGAAATAAAATTATTTTAAATCGACTTGAGTTTGACATTAGCTGACATTAGAACCTTCTGTATAATAATTTGTCATTTTAAATCTTTCAATCCGTGTATATTTTCAAGTCAAACTAATAATTTTATCGAAACACGCTACAAGTCGGCTTCAAGCTGCATATAAACGAAGTTATGGTACCAAAAGCAACGAATTAGAAATACCAAAGGAAGGAGCATCTTTGTTTCTATCTCGCTTACACTGCCAAAAAAATCGTATCTTGAAAAAATAAAGTTGGGTCAAACCAATGGTTTGTATTGTAGCACTTTTCCCTTCAACAAGTGAAAATTCTGCTTTTAAATACAGTCTATGTATAGCTATCACACTATTAAAATTATTTTCATTCATATACAAAACTATTTCTAGGATTGCATATATTTAGGATGAACAATTTATGCAGTCTTTGAAATAAAGCAAAAATTAATATAAAGTGGGGTTAATATAATGCTCGATTTTAAGGGTTAATTGTGTGAGTTAAGAAAAGTGACTATATTTTTTAATGTCATGGAATTTACCGTTTGCTTTTTGCGTTTATAGAAATTTGAAAAAGCTTGCGGTTTCGGAAATATAAGGTGTCAAAAATTCAAATTTT